ATTTTCCATGCAAATACAGAATACAGTTCTCTTCCTAACAGTGGCTCACCTCTAGTCCAAACTTGTAAAAACTGTAGTTAACAAAGTATTTGATGCAACTGGGTAATCCATCATCCAGATTATCCCGGCAGATGTTATGAAAAAGGCTCCCCGTGGCAGGGGGCAGCCGCTGATTCTGCATTCGGTAGAAATGTTGGTGCCGATGCACGGTTGCCTCAAGAGCCATTAAAATTAGGATTGTGAGGTGATTCTACAAAACACCATGGGGGGAAAGGTTGAGTAAAAGAGCACAATGCTTTGGAATCTAAGGCTGGGCTTGTCTGGTGCTCCTCAGACTGCTTTCTCTCCTTAGTGATGCTAATATGCCTTATTATCTCAGGAAATATGCAACTGTTTCTGGAATGACTATAATGTCTAACTCTTGCTTGCTGTAGCCTTAACACTCAAATAAGAATTGTACCTTTAGGCAAGGAAGAACATTGTCATTACATTTCAAGAAGCCTCCAATCCAGTGCGCTGGGTCAACAGGCGCAACGTACAACAGCGATTTCTCCAGAAACTCATCCACAGTGGTATGGTGATAAGTTGTATTTAGATGTAGGACCTAATAAGACATAATATTTTATTTCTTGCAAAATTGTACTTTTTAGTTGCTAGCCTTGATGTACTGCAATGAAGCTTTATTTGAGAAGGTATATAAGTTCAACTGAATAACTATCTCAATTTGCTCTCATTTCTTCCTTCTTCAGCTAACCGCTGGTATCCCCTAGCTATGACTTTTGTGCTGTGTTTAAGGAGGATACTCTTCCTTAGCAGTCTCTTATGCCCTCCACTGCCATCAGAAGAACAATAATGGTTAAAAACAAAAGAACTTCTTTAAAATACTCTACTCGTTGCTCAGAAATCAATTAAAAGCACTGTAAAATGGTAAAAACGTTTTGTGGCATCTTACTGAGTATGCTTTACTTGTCAAAAACTTTCAATGATCATAGCTTACTTCATCTACATTGTAGACTTTAATGCTGAAGAAACAAGCAAATAGGACACAAGTTTCTTAAACAGACACCTTGCAACTGAAGCCTTTGCAAGTGTTTGAGAAGTTGGGGTTTCTGGGGTGTGAGCATGCTGACCTGTGTGCAATTTGAAGAATAATTCAAGGGGTTGACAATCTTCAGCTGATAGATCATTTTGCAGACAACCATTACACATGACCAAAATGTACAGATTCTTGATGCGTGTGGGCGAAGTTTTGAAAAGGGAAGTGCAAATGTCCACAGGATGAAGAAAGGATAATTCATCAAAGATACCTAAAAAGCAAAAGAAGCAAATCTCAGAAAGCACAATGGGACCCAGTTTGCAATACGTTTTCTTTTGATACTGTGCTTGGAGCTTCAGTTTACGCCCTTTGCAGGATCCATTTTGGACATTCTAGTTTTAGAATGAAAAAACAAGCTGTGTAAAACAATAAGATTCTACTCCTGTGACCTCTTCAATCATTCTGAAGAATGGTAATGTTGAGTGAGAGGATAAATCTGCAACTGCAATATTGTATATTCTTAAGCCTCACCCTCAACATAATAAAGGTATACCTGTAAACTTACATACCTCTTTCTCTGAAAAACTGATATATATTTTTTGCGTCTCTTATGGGAGGGTCAGCAATTTTTGAAAAAGCAAATGATAGAAAATAAAACACAAATGACTGAAAACCAGTGTTTTGATACATTACTCAACTGCTCACTTTGTAGTGAGTTTGCAATGTTAGTATAGAATGATATCATGAATGAAATGTGACTGATACCATCATCATAATATTTTCCTATTTTGTTCTGCTGATGGAACACAACAACCAAAGCACATAATATCTTGTTTACAGTAGCATGATTCAGGAATGGCCCTGTTCAAAGCAATGGAGCTTCCAGTTGTGCAAAGGAGCAGTGAATACTGTAAGGCCCACTTGACTTCGCTCTCCAGTTGTGCAAAGGAGCAGTGAATACTGCCTTGTGCAAATGTTGCAGACAAGAACAACCATATGTGCAATAGACCACCCTGCATTCACTAGAGGTGTGTAGATTTGTGATTTGGAACTCTCAGAATTTCCCAGGCATGTAGGAAATGTAGTTCAAAACCAGAACAGAATAGGACTCTGCCCATACGTCAAGATACACATGGCAGCTCAACCATGAACAGTTCCCATTTTTCAAACAGAAGGACTTCTGCCCATGGCTGGCAGGACACCCATATTAGGCAGATTTTGTGCAAGCTTCACAACAGATATTTCAAACAGTTTCCCCAGCACCACAAACCTTAAAGACAAAATTTTGTACTGGCTCTGTTAATGATTCTTGCCTATGTTCAACTCAAGATACCGGTTTGATACTTAAAAGCTAAACTACCTATGATGGTTGTATTTCCTCCAGTTGCTAAAGTTCTTGTTGGGTAAAACTTTGCTGTGTAACTTTGCGCCAGCATAACTTTTGCCTCATTTCCTGAGTCTTTTTTACAGATGTGGCCTCAGATGGGCTAATTTACAGACCTCCTGAAGAGTGATCCAGATGATGCAAGTAGATACGAATTTCAGGATATGTAGCTCCAGAAATCTCCATGCAAAGGCTTGGGCATCTTGGATTGTTGCAAAGAACTTCAGGACACGAGGTACCAAATGGTCTACCGTTCCTGTCCATTTACTCATCTTTTCCACTATGGAAACAAAAGTGGTTGAGTTTTGTTGTTTGTTTGTTTGTTCTAATGCAAAACAACAGATGAAGGAACAGGGATTGGAATTTGCTAAAGAGTTTGTACTTTGAACTTTGCCGGACAGGGATACAGGAAGGGCCACAGGGCAAGTCTCCTGTTGTGACTTTCCACAAAGCATTTTGGTTTGCTGAAGAGGATGAGAATTCATTTTTAATTATGTTTTGTTATCTCTACCTCATCTCACACAGACTACAAAGTGGGAATGACTACATATTGGTTTGTAGCTGCCTAGCAGTTATGCACTAAGCGACGCTATACATTTAGTCTAAGTTAACATCTATTTAGACTACAAAGTGGGTTTGTATTGGTTTGTAGCCGCCTAGCAGTTATGCACTAAGCGACACTATACATTTAGTCTAAGTTAACATCTATTTACGTTGTGATATTTGATGATGGGAAAACAAAGGAAGATGGTAGCCGTTTGGGAATCTGAATTCATGTTGTGATATTTGATGATGGGAAAAACAAAGGAAGGTGCCAAAATCAAAGAGATGGTAGCCGTTTGGGAATCTGAATTCATCTGTTCTTCATTATCATTCAGGGGTCAAAATCCTGTTGCATAGCTCTAGTGGTGCAGTGGGAATGATGTTGCCAGCACCAACCGATTGCTGATAATTGAACAGTCCCTCCTGGAATTTCAGGTTGTGTGTGAGTTTATCTCATTGCACATCACTTGTGTGAAATGCTAAACTGAAGCAGGAATTGTGGCAGCCTGCCACTGCGGGTCATGCTGTTCCCACTAAGCTGATAAAACACCACCACAGGATAGAGGGCAGTCGCTGGCAATGAGCACTAACTTACACAGTCAAAACATAACTCTACTCATATGTCATGGTAAAAAGAAGAGATATTTATAGATCCCATCTGCAATTGACTTAATCTGGGCTATATAGGCCTAGGGTTGATGGCCCAGGAAGAAATGAAGCACAATGCGGGTGACAGCTGATACATGCAATATAAGGTACTTAGAATCATAGAATGATGAAATTGGAAGGGCCTATAAGGCCATTGAGTCCAACCCTCTGCTCTGTGCAGGAATACAAATCAAGGGATATCTGCCAGGTGGCTGTCTAAATTTCTCCTGGATGCCTCCAGTGTTGGAGCACTCACCACCGCCTCTCGAGGTCATAGGTTCTATTTAAATCAGAAATGACATCAGTATCACCATTAAAACCCAGTTGTCAATACTATAACAGTAGAGAGGAAAGCCAAAAAGCAAAATGCTGTGCAAAATATAGTCCTTCCCTTACACTGTATTAATCTCATACACATACGGCTGATTCAAATTACTTACCCACTCAGAGGCATATCATAAATAAGATGCCCACAATGAACCAGAAACCTGCAAAAGCTAACAAACCCAACAGAACCTATGTCATTAAAGCAAACAGCAAACAAAGCCACATCTACAGCAGAGTGTACAGTTTCGGGTAGACATTTTACACTCCTAGTAAAATAAGAGCATTCAAAGAGTTCCGTCTTCCTAGACTGGACTGGCATCAGCACTTGGCAGCCTTTGGCACTTTTCATGATCCTGGCCGAATCCACTCCCACTATGTCTCTTAGGCCACTCCAGGCTTTCCCACCTTCTCCTCTAACCAGCACTGCATGATGGATCAAGCTGCCATTTCAGTTTCCTAAATTATCCTTGTCCTTGACTTAATCTCATTTCATGGCATTGTGGCTAAGTCAAGGGGCAGTTCTGAGCCCGGCTGGTTACTGCCTACCACCATTGCCAGGTAAACTGATCAGGGCCCAGCCAATGGAGGAAAGGACAGGGCGCTGTTCCCAGAGCCCCACAAACCTAAAGCTAACCCTCTTCATATAGCTTAGTTTTACTACGGCTGGCGAGAGCTGATTTCCAGGAAAAGCTGGGCACACATGCGCGTGCACCAGGATCCTTTGCATGCTCGGTTATAGTCCCTAAAGAAGAGCAGATGCTTGATTACCCAGTTTCTCATCAGGACCCCTTCCCAAAGTATTCGCAGACTTGTCCAATCCATCTTGAATGGTGTTTTCTTGTCGCTTCTCAGCAGCTAGCCTGTTGCAAACCCAGGAATTCATTAGGATTATCTCTACACATCAGAAGATTTCAAAGAGTGAGCAAATTCAGGTAACCTATTTAGATCTGATGGGTCTCTCTGTTTCAAGCTCACCTGTTTTGCAGTCTCAGTATGCTTTTCTTAAGCCTGAAAAGGACGAGGACAAAATACAAAGCATCAGTAGTTGCATTGGAAACACGGAAGGTCTTAAAACACCTTTGAGCCTCAGGCAGATAACGTTCCTATTACTTGCTCCCTGAGTCCATTAACTGGAGATGGCAAGGATTAAGCATGGGGCCATTGGCATGTGCTCTTCCCCTCTAATAAAGTCTCTCCTGGAGGGCCAATGCTTTTCCTAGTGGGATTTACAATCCTGTGTATGTGTCTTCCCAAATGTAAGCCTCACTGAGTTCAATGTACCATAACCTCAAGTTGAGATGCCTTGATCCCAGGACCACAGTGCCATCCTAACTGACCAAGATGGCCAAGGCCCTGCCAAGCTGACCCTGGATCAGCTGAAGCTGTGCCAGATCCACACACCACTTCTCCTTGGCTTAGCAATGCTGGAAATGACTCAGGGTTACCTTTGCCTAGGCTTAAATGTGGGGTGACATGGTGACTTATGTTCCTTGATTGACAGGGGTATTTGTTTGTTTGTTTCACTTGCATATTGCATCAATTAGTGCTCTGCCATCTCTTGGTTTCTCCTTCACCCTAAATTTCTTTACTCTTGAAAATTCACATAAGTGTATCCCTGTCTGTTGAACAGGACTTCCCATGATCTACAGTTGCTGAACAGCTGCTATACAAAATCGAATTTTATAATAAATTTATAGCCAGTATCCTGTTGGGCAGGGTCTGCATGTGGAAGGAGAACTGCATCATCAGCAGTGGTAAATTGCTGCTGTTTAGATGGTTTCTTTTGCGACTTTGTGATGTATGCAACTTCATTGCACTATGCATATATAGAATCACTGAATCATAGAATCACAGAGTTGGAAGAGACCACAGGGGCCATCGAGTCCAACCCCCTGCAATGCAGGAACTCCGTCAAAGCACTCCCGACAGATGGCCATCCAGCCTCTGCTTAAGAACCTCCAAAGAAGGAGACTCCACCACACTCTGAGGCAGCCTATTCCACTCCCAACCATCTCTGAATGTCAGGAAGTTCTTCCTGAGATTCAGGTGGAATCTCTTTTCCTGTAGTCTGAAACCATTGCTCCTTGTCCTAGTGTCTGCAGCCATGGAAAACAAACCTGTCCCTTCCTCGACATGACATGAGCCGTGCAGACTCTGTAATCACAAAAGCAAGCCTTTAATTAGGAGCAAGCTGCCACCGCTGCTGGTGCCATTCCCCCTGTGCAATGCAGAAGCTGTGCAACAGGATTTTAGCTTATATTTCCTGAATTTTGTATGCCTGCAATTTTTAATCCAAACTCATTTTTTAAATGTATGTGGCTTCACGACAAAAAGCACCCAAATGGGACTGCAGCTCAGAACAGCCTTGCCTTACTGTGGGGGTTAGCAAAGTGGAGCCCTCCAGTTTCTTTTGCATTGGCTGTGATTAGAAACAAACTAAGTTTCGGTCCAGAAACATCTGGAGGGCTTCGCTTTGCTCAGCCCCACCTGACAAACTAGTGGATATCTGTCAGGGCCTGTGGACTTAAAACCATCCACACTGCGCTTCTCAGATAAGCAAAGGAGAATTAATTCAAGCAGGAAATAAAGCGAATTCAAGCAAAGCTGGCCAAATTATTATGACACTGAAGCAGAAGATTCCACAAGCAATTCTTCACAGGCCTGACATCAAATATACAATAACAATATTGTCTATATGTATACTATAACTGACATGTCTGAGTACGGTGTTGTATTTGTTGGAGGAAATATCTTGTAACCCCGGAAAACCAATCAGTCAGTTAGTCTCAAGTGTAGCACAAAACATTGTCTGTTTGGGATGTAGAGGCTGAATAACACTTTGAAAGTTGTTTGACATCGCTGAACGCATTCAGCTTCACTTTCCTTAATTATACTGGATATGTGACGCAATCAATTTGACAAGAAAAGGCTACAATTTTTATTAAAAAGATACAGTAAACTCACAGGTCAGCCAGAGAATACACCCGGGTTTCAGTTTTCATATCACTAAAAGGGAACAGAATATAAAGCCTTGGTGCATATTCTACTTCAGTGACTACAGATTGACAGATTTACTTAAATGCTTTCCTTTAAAAAAAGAATCATTTCTCTTAAATAAAAAACCTCATCTACCACCTATGTATTAATTAAAAAAATAAGAATCATAACAATTAAAGTAACCTTTAGGCAGAGTAAAAACAGTGACCCATGTAACAGATTTGCAGTACCATAAAGGACAGTATCATTTGATTTGTTATTATTGTTCCATCAGAGGAACCACCATACTGGATATTAGCCATTTCCAACTACATCTGCTTTGAAAAACATGTCGTCCCCCTCAAATTAGCCTTGTATAACCAGCGATATAGTAGAGCCATCGAAATCCTGCAACCTTTTTGAGTGGCAGGGGTTTGACATCATTCACAATCTTCCTCGGGTTTCTGCATTCTCTATCAGCTTGGCTGGAATGCTCACAGTAGCTGGAAGAACACTGTTTCCCAAGAAAACTGTATTACTGCAAGCAATTCTTGTTGCAATACAAAATAGTCTGGGGCAGTCTGCTTTTGATTGGCTATTGAAAGACATAAGCTTCATAAAAGACCTGCCTCTCTCTTTTTTTGACATGCACCAATCCAGCTGCCTGCATTTTTAGACCTTTCGCAGGAATTGGAGGGCTACGAGCATCATCATGATGCACCCATGTATTTAGTAATACCATATTTTTCCGTGTATAAGCCCCTCCAATGTATAAACAACCCTCTAATTTTGTTCCTTGCCGGAGGTGGAGGAGCAGTCAATGGGCAGTCATGAAGGACAGCCCAACACAGCTGCTGCTCTGCCTCCATCTCCTGATGCTGTTGCCTCCACCACCCGATCGCCTCCTCCATTGCGACGGCCGGGGCTCACTTCCAGCTCACGTCGCCACCTTGTCCCCTGCCTGAAGGGAGCCTGTGAGTGGCGCTGGAGGTGGCGATCTGGCAGCAGTGTCAGCAATCAATGGGCAGCCATGAGAGGCGGCCGAGCCGCAGCTCCTCCTCCGCCTCCTTCCATGTACAAAACAACCTTCAGTTTTTCCTCTAATGATTTTTGGGGAAAGTTGTCATTTTATACACAGAAAAAAATACGGTATATGTTCACGTTTCAAATTAAAATAAAATTTACTACTGCAACACTGAGCATGACTGTGTCCACACATGCATGAATAGCTATTCTATTAGACTGTGTATCATACCTGCCAAATGAAGCAACTGGCTTGATGGAAATATTGGCCAGATCTGTGATCATCAGGAAACCTTCGTGAAAGTAATGCAGCTGAAGGATGCAAGCCAAAAGAAAGGCACCAGGAAGTAATATCCTTGCAAACAATTCCATAGTGCTGAATCTCTCAAGACCCAAATCCTTTAATCTGTAGCATGGGGGAAAATATGCAATTTTCCAGCAACGCTGGGGTTAGGGGTGCCAGACTCCCATGTAGTTCAAAATAAATCTTATGCCCCCAAAAAATGTAACTACAAAGCATAAACAGTTGATTAACACAAACACACGTACACAGAGAGAGAGAGAGAGAGAATGAGAGCAGTTCTCTCTATTGAGGTTCTCTTCCATAGTGTTGACAACCCTTTCAACACAGTACCATGTAAAATGAGCCTGAAAGGTATTCTCGAAAGCTTTCACGGCCAGGATCTGATGGTTGTTGTGGGTTTTTCAGGTTCTTTGACCATGTTCTGGAGGTTGTTCTTCCTTAAAGGAAGCCTTAAAGGTCCTTATGATCTCATGATCCAGAGGCCGAGTCGGAGATGTTGTGTTTGGAGGCAAGCAGATCACTTTGATGTCTTCAGCATTGAACTCATGGGTTCTGGTTGGCCATGGGGACAGTATTTATTGAATATCTACCTATTTATTGGAACATAAATTTATTTATTTATGGGGGGGTTGCGGGAATCCTTGTATAACCCAAACCATGCTGTTCAGACTCAGACAATTCAAGGGAGAAACATACATCAGCCTAGTGGGGGGGGGGAAGGGGGTCAATTCACCTTGTGGATCTTAAAATATAAGCATAAGAAAGTACAAGTATAGTGCTTCATTAAAGCAAAAGAGTAAGGTAGCCAATGATTCAAAAAGGAAGGAAAGGGGCATCTAGCTTGTCCTTCTGCTCCTTCCATTCAGACATGTTCTACATATTAGGATGCCACCCCCATCACTGCTCACTGGTCTGGGGATCTTTTAAACATCCTTAAATATTCAGCCATCAGTGTGGGCTACAGAACAAAGTGGTAACAAGGACTCAGGGGACTTGGGTTCAAATCACCACTTGCCGGTGGGTGGCAGTGATGAAACCACTGCTCATAGACGTCACATAGCTTGAAAATACTATTAGGACCATCATAAATCGGATGCAACTTGACAAACGGACATTCACAATGCAGTCAGCATATAAACAATGTTTGATATAGAAAGTAGATTCCTATCAATTTCATTTTCGGTGCACAATCCTGGATCGATATAAGTAAAATCCTTGCGTATGTCCTGGGGTTCTAAGCCCCTGTCCACTCTCCTACTTTTTTTTAAAAAAAAAGAGTACTGTATCTATATTTTAAATTGTTACAAAAAACTGATACCATTTCAGCTATCATAGTGCTATCCGATAGAATCCTGGAAATTCAAGTATGGTGAGGTATTTACAACCTGTAACACATGCTCTGCAATTACACCATTAGAATCCTAAGTATCTCGCCGAACTACAAATCCCAGGATGGCATTTCATGGGCTCACAAAGGAAAGTGTAGAACCAGAAGGACAGGTCAGAAGCCCCTTGCTATCTAGCTTGCCCGGGCTGAAGCAGAAAGATGTCACAGGTTAGCTCAACCAAGTCACTGTCTTATAAAGAGTCAGGGAAAGGTAGCAATGTTTGGGGGGAAAAACCTTTTGGACTACAGATCCCAGAATCCCCTGTTGTAATCCAAACAAGGAAATAAATAAACGGAAGCTCTCCTGCCCAGGCTGACAATGCCAGGGGAAAATACTGGAATTATTAATAAGCTTACACAATACTGATACTGTGTCTGCATTTGAATATGAACAGCAAAATCCTTACTTGCTGTTATCCAATGAACTTCAGAAATACTACATTGAAGCCCAAGGTAAAACTCAAATGTTGACTATTTTGAACAAAATGGAAACCTCTCACCTCTCCTCTGATATTTCCAGGGTGTTTAGGAAAAACGCAGAAACCATCTCAAACTGGTAGGCATAGATTGTTATAAGTACCACCATTGAGTAAGATACCACTGTCAGCCAAAACCCCTTGAGGACTAGTCTCCACATCTCGTAATGAACCTGAAATCAAAGGATTTCAATGCATGCTTTAGTGCTGGAATCCATCGGATAGATTTGTGTATGAGATGTAGGCTGAGCGAGGCTGCTTCAGCTGCAAAAACATGAACAGCTGCTCTCCCTTTATTTATACATTCAAAGAACTGTATAGCTGTCAAGCACATCTAGGGTCACCTTGCCCAACCCCATGCCAATGCAGGAGATCCAGAATGTAGAACTGGAGAAGTGGGAGGGACCACATGGAGTATATCTCATGAGGCTCTCACAACAAAGTTGAATCTCCTGCTCTCTAAACAGCCCTTGCTGATTATTGAAGCACCAGACTTCTACCCATATCTCTGAAAATCAACTAAAAAAAAATAAACATAGTGAAAACAAAGAGTTCAAAACTGTTGTCATAGTTTTAGGAGAAAGCAGCAGAACCTCAGACTCTCGGCTTTGCTTACCTGGTACAAAGCTACACAGAGCAGGAAAAGCAAAATGTAGAGGATTTTGTACAGAGCCACTTTGCCATTGAAGCTGACAATAAAGAACATGACAAAGCAGAAGTAAATCCAGTATTTTACTAGCATCCCCTTAAGCACAGAACCAAGGATGTCCAAAAGTAGATTGTCTTGCGTGTCCATTTCTGAAACAGGAATTTAAAATCTATCAGAATCATCCACAGGTTTACACTGGCCACAAATATCTTTTAAGACAAGATCACCCTACTAAAACCATTTATTTTTGTTCTCACTTATCATGGGGCACCTTGCTACTTACAATTTAAGGCTTTGATCCTGTGCATTCTTATTAGGGATAGGTCCAGTGAATACAGTGGTATTTCATTTTGAGTAGACTTATAAAAAGAACAGTAATATAAGGTTGCCACTGTATGCAGACTAGCTTCAAAGTAAAGATTACTTAACTCAGTGAGACTTTGTGCTAAGGAAGCATATACAGGATTGATGGAGCAGCTCAAAGCTATTTGGAAGGAGACACAGAATAAACACATATCTCTCCCCTCTGCCCAATCTTTGACATTGCCATAGTAGATAAATAGCTAGTAAGAATTCAGTATTATTAAGAGGTTTCAAGCATTTCTGAAAATGGCATTATCTGCTTTCCTGTGTTTCAGGAAAGTCTTTCAACTCCAACTATTCAAATACAGCAACTATTTAGTATTAAATATTCTTACCGGCCTTGTCTATCATCACCTCCTTCAGAGATTCCTCCTCCTCTTGCCTATCCTTTTGTTTTTGAATCATATGCTGTTTCAGCAAGAGCCAGAAAGTAAACAGATAGGAGATCTGCAATAAAATCATATTAATATTTTGAAGAGGAATAAAAATAATCCACAATACAGTACTCATATCTGGTGCAACCTGAGGACGTAGCAATCTGGTGGCCTACGCTCGGCAACAGGAGAGAAAGAATTGTTCACTATGCAAGTCACTTATATGCATTCGATTATACAGAATGCATTCTTCTTCAAGATAAGTTTTTAAAATCAAGGGCTGGGGGATAAAATGAGGACAGTGAACTGAGACTTGAGGGTTCAAATGAAAGATGTAGCTTTCAAGAGAAACATATGCTTGGCATGTAGAGGGGCTCTCATCATCTCCTGGTGCTCTCCTCTAACATATCAAAGATCTGTTACCAGCCACAATTGATCAAATGTAGCTCTATAAACCAATATGTCCAATTCAATATAGGGCAATTTCTTGATTTCAGTCTAAGATATTGTTCAAAGGATCCCACATATTCATGAACAACATGAACAACAGAATCATCTATTTATTTATGTTCTTTATTTTCAGTGGTGTATATTATTCAAGGTCTTACATATGCAGTCAAATCTGAACACAATGATTTTAACCCTCCAGGTGTTTGGATTCAGTCTCAGAATCCTTGGCCATTGGTCATACTAGCTAGGCTTCTGGGAACTGAAATTCAAAAAATCAGTCGAAGGTTGAGAACCACCATCCTAAAGTGCACTTACTTGGAAATAAATCTAAATGAGTTTACTTCCTAGTAAGTGTGCTTAGGCTTGGACTACCTTTAGTTATAGCTCAGAATTGAATATAAAAGATTGTCACCTTGGCTGCCAGATGAACACAGGGCAGAGAATAAGGTTTCAAATCCAAGTCAATGAGGAGTGAGGTTGGCACTCCAGGAAACAGTTCTTCCTGTGTGATATTCAGTCCAACAAAGAAGTTAAGGATCACCAGAATATTTCCATAGATAACAAGGAACGGCGAGCTCCGCAAGGCACAGAGGCAACGGTCACGCACCATCCAAATAATGCAAGACCAAATCAACAAAACAAAGGCCAACCAGCTGTTATGAGTGATACTCCAAACCTGAAAATATCAAAACAAAAACACTAGACATGTAGGTGTCATGCAACCTTTTAACAATTTGCAAACTGATGGAGAGAAGAGAATACAATATTAGAAAAATGGTAAGCTTGGCAGAATAAAAAATTTAACATAGGCAAAATGATGAAACTGAGGCTGTCTTACTTTGGGAACATTATAAGAAGGCAGGATTGGCTGGAGAAGACAATAATGCCAGGAAAAACACATTATAAGAAGGCAGGACTGGCTGGAGAAGACAATAATGCCAGGAAAAGTTGAGAGCAGCAGGAAAAGAGGAAGACTGAATATGAGATGGATTGACTCCATCAAGAAACCCACAGGCTTGAGTTCCCAAGTGCTGAGCAAAATTGTTAAGTATAGGACATTGTGGAGATCATTCATTCATAGGGTTGCCATAAATTGGAGGTGACTTGACTGCATGTAATGACAAGAATTAAAATCTAGCTCATTCTCTGCTGGCAGCCAGGCTTGGCCACTCAGCAAATTTGCTTCATTGTTGGGTTTTCAGTATTACTATAGAGGAATGCATTTAATCTTGTAAAAAAAATTTAATATAGTTTCTGTACTTGTAAATTTTGCATTCCTTTTCCTGTTGGCCTTTCTGAACAATCTTGCATGAACTGTATATATATGTACACTCAACAGTTACCTTTGAACAACCTTCAAGTGTTATCATGAATGTTTCCATGTAACTTCATAAAGGCTCCTTTAACATAACATGCTGTTAATGTTTGTATATCTTGAAACTTTTACATTCCTGCAGTTCATGGACATTCATGCCAAATGAAACATGTTAATAGGGACGTGGTGGCGCTGCAGGTTAAACCGCAGAAGCCTCTGTGCTCCAAGGTCGGAAGACCAGCAGTTGTAAGATCGAATCCACACAACAGAGTGAGCTCCCGTCGCTTTGTCCCAGCTCCTCGCCAACCTAGCGGTTCGAAAGCATGCAAATGCGAGTAGATAAATAGGGACCATCTCGGAGGGAAGGTAACAGCGTTCCGTGTCTAAGTCGCACTGGCCATGTGACCACGGAAGATTGTCTCCGGACAAAACGCTGGCTCTGTGGCTTGGAAACGGGGATGAGCACTGCCCCATAGAGTCGAACACGACTGGACAAAAATTGTCAAGGGGAACCTTTACCTTTACCTAATCTTTTAAAGATGGAACAAAGTTCGTTGATTGTCTTCTATACCCCTTGATCCTGAAAATTATGATGTAACCCTAATACCGCTGCCCATTTTCAATTTCTCCTCTAGGCTATGGCTATTAAAATATTGTACTCTATGGGACCTAGATCCAGCTGTAACAGATGATGGTATCAGGTAGAACTTGAAGCACACTGATGGAGTTTAAAGAACAACCATAACTATATCTTACCATCATGGCAATCAATGCAGTGATGTAGCTCTGACGCATAATGAATTGTGCCAGTGCTGAAAAAGTACTAGAACTATCTCCATTATCACAATGGGCTTCCTCAGTTTCAGCCAAATTTTCAGGGGTTGTTGAATCCTCTGAAAGAAATACAAAATGGATTAATTGCCACTTTCAGGATAACAGGTACAAGGATGTCAACAGCATCATCAGCCTACAGTGTATGACTTGAAATACGCAAAGAAATCAGTGTTAAAGGCAGTCTGTTTAAAGTTGGATGAAAATGTATTTAAAAATTAATGTGTAAAAAGAATTATTAATCTGAATCTGTGTTCTGTGGACCTCCAGAGCAAGGTACTCAGCCCTGCATGCAATCAGATCCATGAAGGAACAACAGTCTTTTGGAATACCAGATGTATCCGATAGAGCCACTATAGGATCAGGAAATAAGCTTGCTTTTGCTCTTGGAAATTACACATTCTCTTCCATCAGAGTTGATTGCTGAGATGCTGGTTGGTCCAAAGATGTACCTTCACTATTGGAACTGAAGAGACAAATTGAGCTAATACTGAGCTAGACCTTGAACAGATATTTATAGTCGCTTGAGGGCAAGATAACTGTGGAGCAACAGACAAAACCAATGGAACAGATGAACTCCAAGGAGTTTCACAGTTAGATAGTGTAGTGATTGAAATTGATGGTTTATGACATGGTCAGTTCTAAAGAAGGAAGTCAATAGCAATAATAGGAAAAGTAGGTATCTTGACATTCATGGCAGCTATAATGAATTCCTTCTCAAATTCAGAAGCTTTTAGGTCCACAATATGATCGTGAGCATGACAGGGACCAACAAGGCAGATATAAAAGTGTCCAAACCAGCTGAAAGGAATAAAGGGAGTGGATCAATTCATGAGAACCTTGCAAGGAGAGCAAAGAGAATTTGTGTGTCACCTGTTATAATGGTACTATCAGGCAAAAAGATGGTACCATTCTAACAGTTGACACATGAAGGCTCTCAGCACTGAGATGTTGCAGTCAAAGATGTCCAACAGGAGGGTCTGTTATATCAAGTGATTGCTTGTGGATTTTTCCATCTGAAACAGATACTACATAAAATCACAGAATTGTAGAGCTGGAAGGGACTTAAAAGATCACTGAGTCCAATCCCATAACTGTCACTTCATACAGGAATCTCACCCACCTCTAACAACAGAGAATCAGATAGGTGGTAATACTGGAAGGTGAAACTTGGAAGCTTTACTGAAGATTACAGCTGTCTATGTTCGATCATGTGGTTTCTTCCCAAAAGTTGATGACTGAGTGATGTGAAGTTTGATGCTATTGATGAACTGGGTTAGAATCTTAGACTAATCCCCACCAGTGTTGATAGTGAACAGGTGAGCAACCAGATCTTCCACAACCACCATGTTGTGAAACATACCTGGCAAAGAAATGGTGTGTCCTTCAGAGTGACTGTGACTTCGACACTGCAAGAGGGGAATGTCCTGCAAACTTCCATTTGAAGCATAAGCCATCTGGACAAAATAGGGGGGGGGGAGAAACACAGGATTTCAAGTCATTGTTCAGCTTCAGTAAAGACTATAGCTAGTTATTGGTTTATTTTTATTTATTTATTTAGTGGTTTTGGATACACAAGAGATATAAGCAGCAACAGAGAAGGCCCCCTCCAGTATCCCCGCTAAACATGCCTGTGAGGGTGGTAGGACCCAGAGAAAAGCCTCTCCTGATGATCTTGAATCCAGGGCAGACTCATAAAGGGAGAGGGGATTTTTTGACACGGCTTGGACCCAAGCTGTTTAGGACTTTGTAGGTTAAAATCAGGACTCTGAATTCTGCCTGGCAGCAAGTGGAAGTACTGTAATAGGGCCATTATGTGATCCCTGTGTACCGAGTTCCAGTTAACAATCTGGATGCAGCATTTCGGACCTGTTGAAGCTTCCAAAGGCAGCCACATTAGAGCACGTTGTTGGAATATGGCAAGATATAACATTTTACCTACTGTGGGTCAATATCCTTAAAGACCTCACCCGTCCTTTATAATCAATGAGGCTCTATAAAGACCTGTCCTTTATAATCAGTGAGGCTCTATAAAGCTTTGTCTCTCTCTCTCCCTCTCTTTCGATGGTGCTGACTGACCAAGCGAGGCAGAGACCCTGTGTGCTTGCCTGAGTTAGTGGGCGTTGCTTGAGCTTGCGCCACCTTTAATTCCCTTTTACTGTTTGGTATGTTTTGTAATGTAGCTTTAGTACTTTTATTGTTTTCTTAGGATGTCCTGTTTACCCTTTTCCTAAGAGAACTAGGTAAAGGTAAAGGTTCCCCTTGACAATTTTTTGTCCAGTCGTGTTCGACTCTAGGGGGCGGTGCTCATCCCTGTTTCCAAGCCATAGAGCCAGCATTTATCCGAAGACAATCTTCCGTGGTCACATGGCCAGTGCGACTTAGACACGGAACGCTGTTCCCTTCCCACCAAGGTGGTCCCTATTTATCTACTTGCATTTGCATGCTTGGCGGGAGCTGGGACAAGCGATGGGCGCTCACTCCGTTGCGTGGATTCAATCTTACAACTGCTTGGTCTTCTGACCTTGCAGCACAGGCTTCTGCGGTTTAGCCCACAGTGCCACAACCTCCCTGCCGCACCATGTCCCTGCAGAGAACTAGATAAAGATTATTATTTATATTTTGTCTCAGAGTAGATTCTATCTAAAAGGGCGGGATAGAAATCTAATAAATAAATAAAAATAAAATTAATCAGTGTCTCAAACCTTTTTTTCTAACACATGTTTCAGTAATCCAATGGGATATAACCAAGGAATATGTCACTGTGGCCAGACCAGACATCTCCAGGAATAAATGCAGCTGGCATACTAGTTTTAACTCTGCGAATGCATTCTTGGCAGAATCTAGGCTTTGCACCTGGATTAAGTTTCATTTTATTTACCATTATCCAGTCCATTACTGACACCAGACATAAATCTAGAATTGAAACAGCATCCTTGGATGTAGATGGAAAGGAAAGATAGAGTTGGGTGTATCTGCATATGTGTGACATTGAACCCCAAAACTCCAGACAACCGGAAAGGAAAGATAGAGTTGGGTGTTATCTGCATATGTATGACACTGAATCCCAAAACTCCAGACAACCTCTCCCAGAGGTTTCATGTAGATGTTAAATAACATAGAGGACAGAACAGAACCCCAAGAAACACCACAGGCCAATGGCCACGGCATGAAACAGGAGTCATCTGGTACCATCTTCTGAGTTTTCCACTTCATGAAGGACTGAAGCCACTGTTAAACAGTGAGAAAGCCCAGAAGGATATAATGGTAGGTGGCACTGAAAGCCACTGAGATGTCCAGCACAACCAAGAGGGACACATTCCCCTTGTCCAGTTCCCCTTGTGACCAAAGGTGACCAAAGCAGCCTGAAGCCAGGCTGAAATGGATCTCAAATAGAGATGGGAGTATTCGTATATGAATATCTCTGCACAGGTGGCGTTAACGAGGGTCCAGCCCCATGGGGCCGGACGGTCCACTCACCTATTCACAGCAGATGCAGATGGTGCGATTCTATGAATGGTGCCGCAGCACGTGATCCACTCACCACTCTTCAACCTTGCAGAGAGTCTTGTTCTCCCACCTCCTGCCAGGAATGGCGAGCATATCATGCACTGCGGCACCATTTGTAGAATCATGGCATCTGCGTCCATGGCAGATCGGCGAGTGGACCATCTGGCCCCATAGGGCTGGACCCTCGTTAATGCCACCTGTGCAGGGATATTCGTATTCATACATGAATACAAATACCCACATCTCTAATCTCGATAATCTGTCTCACCCAGGAACTCCTGCCGCCTTGACCTACTCCAATACCTTGCCTAAGAATGGAATGTTAGAAACTGGCCAGCGATTATCCAATAGAGAGTGTTTACAGCAATGGTTTTGCTACTGCCTTCTTTAGGCATGCTGGGATTCTACCCTGTTGCAAGGAGACGTTCATAACTCTTCCTACCCACTCAGCTAGTCCCTCTCTTCCAGCTTTTATGAACCAGGAAGGAGAAGAGCCCAACAGACATGTGGCAGCCTTCGCCTCTCCAAGCGCTCTGTCCATACCATCAGGCTGCAAAAACTGAAACTTGCCCCCGGACAAGCAAGGGCCATGACCTTACATCAATTCCAGCATCCAAGTCAGAGCGGATCTGAGCTTTTTTGCCATCTGTTCAACAAAGAGGCAACCCCAACTCACTCTTCCATCACAGCTCCCATCACTTTGTCTTGGTGACAAACTGTATTCTCTCACACACACATACATACATTTTAAGCTCTACGCCCTTAGCTGTAGAGTAAGTGAAAAGGAGGAGCACTTTTTTCCAAATAGCTTTCATATCAATCTCATATTGTCTGTACGTACTGTATTTCCTAAATCTACTGGCAATCTTGAGTGATTAACAAGTAAATTGTCTGGCAAACAAAATGGCCAGGTCAGAATTTATAGTCTTACTTTTACCTTGACATTTTCATCTGTTGTCACCCATGGTTCAGTATCCATCATCACTTTTCTGTTTCCTTTAGGCTGAAACCGGATGGCCTCTTCATGGGTTTCCTAAATTATATATCAATTCAAAAGGAAAGGAATGCTCATGGAAATAATGTGCAGTGCCATTTTTTTTGCATGCAGCCCCATAACTAGACATGTCCAAGGCAGGACGGTACCTGTGTTTAAACTCAGGCCTTTAAAGAAGGCTAATTTAAACAGTAAAAGGGATGAGGGATTCAGAATCCTCCTGGTTCTTATGGTTTAATTCCTAAGACCCCACTCCCTAGGCACCTTTCCTCCAGCTGGGGATCTGATAGCAGATATAATTTTGGGTCAAATAAAAATCTTATGTTGACTGCAGGGAAATACAGCACCAGAGGAAGACAGTTCAGGCCTTTTTATCTGCACATCTTATCCTCATCACAGACATATATAACTGCAGCAAATATTGGTTTACATTTATGCATTTTCTTCAGGCATACATGTGGTCCGTTTCTTTGCTTATTAAATTCATACATGCAACCTTAGTGCAATGCACTACGCTGGATGGTTTACAGTCTGCTATTTATCTATTTAAATATGTTTAACCCACCCTGTATCAGCTGATATTAGAGCAAGGCTACATTCAGTACAATCACATTAAAAATCAACAAAAAGAATGTGAATGCTTTAAAACAAGAGCTGTTAAGTTCTTGATGTTAGAACATAGTAACAATTAAACTTCAAAGGAAAAGATTTGAGCCATCCCATAATCTTTCTAACAATCAAATGCCTGGTTTTAACTTAGCAATGAAACAGGCAGCAGCAGCAGCATCTGGGCATCCAAGGGGTGAGTATCCTGTACCTAGGATGCTATAGCTGAGAAAGCCCTCTCCCACATCTCCATATATAATGGACTTTCCAATGGTGGGACAAGGAGGAAGCAGATCGTAATGATTCAGCAGAGGCTGAATCATTAAGGGGAGAGTCAGTCCCTCAGGAATCTAGGTCCCAAGATGTTTAGGGCTTTAAAAGTCACTGTTAGCTTCTTGAACTAAAAGCAGGAGTGTGTCAGAGCAAGAGTCTTGCACCCTTACTGCAGAATTTAGAATCCATGATATGAAGCCCCTGATAACAAGTCCTGTTTATTAGTAGTGCTTTAAGGGTCAAACAAGATGAGACACCCAACTTGCACTGAAAAGGTGATAATAGATTTCTCCTCTTACAACCTGATTTTTACAGAGATTTAAGTCTGGGCAATCAGAGTTACAAATTCAACCTAGGTTTGCCTTCCAGTGACCAACTTCTGTACAAAACAGTATTGGTGGAATACTGTATAAGATAGGAAGCTGAGCGAAGGCTGCTGGTCAACTAACACAGTTGATTTAACAAGTCCCATTTATTCAGTGGGCCAATTCTTGTTGGGATTAACAGATTTATTCCAATATATACAGTCTATTATAGCAAAGATGAAGAACACTGAGATTCAAAAGGGTGGTTATGAAGAAACAAAAAAAATTTTTTTGAAAGATTTTGAAGAACTAAAAAAAAAGATACACAGATACAGTATATACTACAAAGTGTTAGAAAGACAAATACATGGGTCCTAGATCAAATCCAGTTGAACCTCTCACAAACTGAAATGACAAAGCTGAGATTACAGCATTTTGGACATATCATAAGAAGATGATACTTACAGGGAAAAGGAAATAACACTGTAAGCAAAGGCAGTAGGAAAAGAGGAAGATTAAATCTGAGATGGATCAACTCAGTGAAGTATCTTTAGTTTGCTGGACCTGAGCAGGACTGTTAATGACAGACTTCGAAGGTAATAAATGTATAGGATCATCACAAGTTGGAAGCAACTTTATAGCACATAAAAAGAAAAAGAAGGAAGAAGAAATCTTAATGGCCCCTAGCTCATCCCTGTTGTTCTTTGGTATGTGGGAGGTGTAGGCAAAGAAATAGCTTTTACAATACCTTAGCAGGCAGTGACCATTG